AGTCTTGGTTTGGAGTTTTTTTGGGGGAGGGTCTTATTTTGTTTGGGTTTTTTCTTCCTGTGGGAAAATTAAGGTTGGGCTTCTCATAGCAAAATGACTAAATCTATACTTAGCATATACCTGAAAATTCTAGAGACTGATGGCTGATTCAACCTCATCAGATATAGATTCCAATACACCAATGTCTAAAAAGCATGTACCTGGTGGAAAGATCGATATTTAGAGTGTTTTTCATACTGGTTGAATTAAAGCTATATTAATCTTTTCTCATTTCTTATTTTCCCTTTTCCCATTTTGATAATCAGTATGAATTTTATGTGCGTCCAAATGAGGAAAAACTTATTCAGTCTTATCATACTGTGCTTTTTTTGTTTTCCCTATAAGAAAGCTAACCTTTTTATATGTTTTTCTGAACTAATTCAAGGTTCTGGAATGAATTATTCAAAAGGATTTGCTGACTTGTAAGCAAAGCTTTTAGTTCATGTCTGTTATTCAAGATCTTCTAATGATCATGAACTTTCTGTCACACATTCAACAGATATGTTTTTCATTGTAAATCTTGACAGGAAGCAGGAAGTCAAAATCTTTTCATCTATAGGATCCTTCTAAATAAGGACGGAAAGTGCATTGGTTTTTAATTTTTATAAGTGGAACAATAGATCTTTCATAGGTATAATAAACTGATTTCCCTGTGAAGCTTTTCGTAAGATTTAATTAAATTCTCTTTGCAAAGTAACTGAAATTTTGTTTGAAAGACAACACTTGGATTTTAAACGATCACTTTTCCCCCTGGGCTGTAATTAAGTTTCATTTAGATGGCTCCTTTATATTTTTACTTCTCTTCTAGTGTTCATACTTACTATTGGATTCTGCCTTGAATCCCTTAGCTTAAAATAACAGGCTTTATTCTTCCAGCTGCAGAAGCCCATGAACAGGCTTTATTTTTCACTAAGTCCTTATCTTGGACTTAGCTATTCATTTCCCAATAATGTTGACTTTCTGCCACAGCATCACCAAAATCTAGTTCTTCATCCATGTAGATGAAACCTGAACCTTAAATGTGCTCTATTCAGTTCAACCGCCATTATTCTGACCTTGACAGTTATTATATTTTCTATGGATCATATTGCCTCTGAATTCCCTTTCTTAGCCTGTTGCTTTGGCCTGTCTCTTTAGTCCATTAACATATATAATTCTTACATAATTCAGCAAATTCTTTTGTTTGCTTCTCTAATTCAGTTCTCAGCTGCAGGCTGGATAGAGCAGATCAGCTCAATATTGACTTGAGGCTCTGTCATAGTCACATCTGTTTCATTCCTCAGCTATGGGCTTCTCCCACAAAGACTTTCTTACTTAGTCCTGCCTTTCCTCTGTAGCATGAGGAACACCTCAGCAAACTGAAAAAATCCTTGCTTATATTTCAAATCCCAATTTACATCTCATCTCTACCATGGTCCTACAAAACCCAAATTTTGTGGTAAGGCAAATAATCTAAAACAGTGTTTTCCCAATTCTTTTTTTGGTTCCATGTAAAGTAATGCAATTTACTAAAATCTGTGCGGTTAACAAAGCTTTCTTGTTCCATTTCACACATTCATTTTCTTGAGTATTTTATAACTATTCTTTTTCCTACCCAAGTTTTTAGACTGAAGAGCTTTGGGGGCACAAGAGGAAGGAGGTCCAAATATTTTGACCTCCAATATATACCAATATTTACTGCTATGGCTGTATCATTGAAATGGATACCCGTAGCATATTTGACCAGTCCCTTCATGTTAGATAGATTTCTATGACTCTGGGAAAATAAGGTAGAAATGAGTGGATTACTAAAAAAGACCACTTGCTTTTATTCTTTCTTCCTTTTTTTGTGTGTGTGTTATATAATCTGTGCTGGGAACTTCACCTTTAGCAGCTTTAGCTTTTTGTATTGTGCAGAGGCTAAAATTATTCAGTACTGGCTAGTTAAAATATAGTGTTTAGTGTTTACCTCACATTGAAAATAGGAGAACTATTGTTGAGTCACATTATTGCTCTGAATACCAGCTCTTTATTTACAAACTGGAGTTAGTAAATGTTATAAATGTATAAAGCTTTATAAATGCTCTGAGGGTATTCTCTTTAGAGAGAGATGACATAATCCCTGGGACAACAATGCCTTGTCTCGGTTAGGACATCTACATACTCTTGGAATATAAATAGCAAGTAAATAATTATGCCACTAGTGTATACTTGACAAAACTCTTAATGACCATCTGAACATCCTCAGACATATCCCAGAGCAGTAATAACTATCTGCGATGTGATGAGCTAGAAATATTTTAGCAAGTCTGTTGCATCAGGAAAGAATTTCTTCCCTTGAATGCAACTGGAAGAATTAGTATGTATAATGTATATATTTGTATAATCATTTATACTATATGTATGTGTGAATATGTCTATATAGATAGGTTTCTGAGCAGTTCTGAATAATAACCTTCATCATGCCCAAATGACATTTTGCTTGCTATTTTGTTTGCTGTGGTTGCAGTCCGGCTTTGCAATACAAAAGTCTTTTCCTCTTGATTCTGTACTGTATAGCTAATATAATCTCTATTCAGAGGAACACTATACTTTTTGTTTAGTTTGCACTAGATTGTGCTTTGGTGTCATTTTCAAACTGGGAATTACATGTTTCTCCATGAACTGTCCTTTTGAATATGCTCTATTTTCCACAGGAGGAAATGACAAATCACCTAAATAAGCGTGGCAGGAGCTGAGGTGTTGGGTAATAACTGATTAAGGGCTTATTGCCTTTGTGTAGTGATATATAGTGAGAAAAGTTCACTCAGCTCCTTAACTGCAGGTGTGGCATGCTCTTCCATTTTGTGTAGTTTGCATTATCGAGATGGGCATATATCAATCTTTAACTAAACTCCTTCCTTCTTGGAAGAAGGCGGCCAACTTGCACTTTGAGGGTTGTGATTGTTCCTCATTATTGCATCCTATTCTTCAGTGTCACAGGCTTTCTATAGGCACATGTAATCTGATGGCTGAACTAGGGTAAAGTACTCAGTGTCACAGACCTTACAAAAATAGTCTAAATATGTTAACTGAAATGCTCTTGGACTGGGGGAATTAAAAGACTGATTTGGGATGAGATTCATAATGATCTGTATGAAACCTATTTGGTAGCAGGGAAAAGATCAGATAAAAAGTGAAACCTTAAATGTGTAATATCCACCACTGTTATTAACTGCAAGGAGCTAACAGAAAGCTGTTAAATCACTGACCGGGGCAAAAAAACTTTTGCAATCTGTCTGGCACCTGCTGAAATACATTTCCATGTGAAAAATGATTGACAATCATTCAGGGAGTGGAGATACTCTCTACTTTAAGTAGATAAAAAAAGGTTATCTCTCTTCCAATTCAGTGATTGATTTTTTTTTAAAATTTTTTTTTTTTAACGAATAAGACAGTCTTCAAAATGGTTTTAAAGATTTAGTCTCCATCCTTGAAAGTTATGTTGATGAGCCATTTGACTACAAAGTGAGACAATGCGTAGAGGGTTATGAGGATTATAATCACTTATATTTAGGCAGGTGATGAATCAAACTAGTCAAGCAGTCTAGTGCTTGAAGCATGCTTTTAACAAACTAATCAAAACAAGACTGGAATTGAGTGCAGCAGTTTTATTGAAAAAGTCCACAGGTATGTGCAATTCCTTTATTAAAATGTTTTCAAATACATCAGACAAGGAGCAATCGATGATCAAGAGTTATTCCTTATTTTATTTTATACATTTTTGTTTCCAAAACTATACAAACATTGGAAAACTTTCCTTTTCTTCCATTTTGGCTATTAATAATTCTGTAATGATAAGTTTTATATATCTCCCTTTTGAATCTGCAAACCCACTTTTCCTGGAGGTGACATTTTACATTTTTGACAATTAAAAAAAGTCAGTTGTATTTACATGTGCTTAAGGTTGCATAATTGAATGTCATACAGGTTCTGAAAACCAGTGGATAAATGGTTTTCAAGATTCACCCAACTGGGTTGAAGGTTTTAAATACACATAAACTGCATACATGTGATTTAGTAGCCAAGACACCTTTTGTTCCCTTTTTTTTTTTTTCAAGGCTATCTATAAACTGTGTGCTAGCCATGGTAAAGGTTTGTTTTAGTAAAGGTACTCACTGAGTGAAAAGCAGCACTGACAACTATTGCTGATCAAGGACATGAATGGGCAGAGGCTTGTATGTGTATATATAATACAAAATCTAATGTTTCAAAATGAACTTGAAGCTTTTATGCAAAAATAATGTCTAGAATAAAAACTATTTCCTGGACTGCATTAAAGAATAAAAAAAACCCCACAAATGCTTGTGTAAGGAAAAAGATAGAGCTCAACATGGGAAAAGAACAATAGAAGCACGTGGATTAAATTCGGAAGCAGATCTTGCAATGTATAATTACTGGAAATTCAGTTGAAATATAGCAACATCATCAATGGAAAATGAAGGCTACAACTGCAGCAGACACATACAGCATATTTTATGAGCTATTATATTGGCCATACAGATTTGTCTACATCTTATTTATTTGAATCCTTAAGGCTTCTCTAATGTCTTACATGAAAGTGCTGTCTGCTTGGATCTTCCATGCATGAGGGAGACGGGTAATTTTTCAAGGAAAAAAAAAAAATGTGTCCACATTTCAATTACAATAGCACATCCAGAGACACAAAATAAAAGACAAACTTTATGGTACCTTTGTTTCATTTATTTTGGCCCCCAAAAGATGCATGCACTAGACTTTATGTACTACAAGGTATTGAAATATTTACAGCATTGTACATGTGCTCTCAAAGGGATGGCAAAGGGAAAGGTCTGTTTTTATCTTGGTGGGAATAGAAGTTAACTTTCTAGCTTAATAATACCTATTCAAAGTGAGAGACGACTCTTCCAAAAAGAAAAGCCCACAGAGGATAAAGCTATAGCATAATTATAGCCAATGTTAACAAACTGTACAGCACTCTACCTGGGAATTCTCCTCTCTCTCACTCCTGTTTGAAATAGTAGTACCAACTATTATGTTATGCTGCCATGCTCCCCTTGCCCTGTCTGCTCCGTTTCTCTCTGTTCCAGCAGGTACAGCTGCATATTACCTGTTTATATGATTTTTATTTCAAATTATTTCAGCATGTTGAATGGACATTTAATTCACAATAACCTGATGGCAATTTTTGGAGAAATGATATGATTGATATTTACTGGGTTATGGCACTAAAGAATTCAGACCACTATAAAGCGCATTGTGAATACTTCAAGTGGACTTAGGAAACCATCTCTCCAAGAAATTCAGTGAGTAAGGCTCATATCACTGATTTCCTTCTGCTTTTAAAGGTAAAGATATGATACCCAATACACCAGATTAAACAAACAGAAGGCAGTTGGGAAGAAGATGCGGGCATAGGAGTCCATTTTGGCAATCCGAATATGTATTCTTCCGTGCCTCCATGCTCCTGTTCGACAATCTTCAAAGCAGCAAAAAAAACTGGCACAGTCCTTGCCATCAAGACACTCATATCCATATTCTTCATCCCTTTCTTGCAGGTGTGTAGCATTGTTCATTTGAATAGTAGCTGATCGAGGCCGAATGTCAATTGTAGGTGCCTAAGGTGGAGTGGCAAAAGAAAAAGATGGCAGGAAGGAGAGACTCTGTTATTATCACCAGACCAACAGGGAGATAGAGACTAATGGTCAACATGTGGATGATGGTTCTGTGTGGGGTACATGGGCAATTGCTGAGGAGTTCTAATGGTAGTATTACCTTGAACTTATTAAAATCAGTTGCATTGTATATTGTAACTTTACAGGAAAGCAGCACGAATCAATACAAAGTTAACAGCGGTGGACAATTAGTTTTAAAACCAAACTAAGTAAACATTAAAGGTTGAAGGAAACATTCAGGAATGTAATTGATGGTATTTTGAATTTCTTTTGTGTTTTATATTTTACATAGCTGCTTGATATCTGAAGGCAATTTGTGTGTTGCACATGGAAGGGACTGAAATAATCAATTGGAAATGCAGGATTTTAATATAGGACTGGTTCGTGTTGATACAGGAGCAAATATATATACAGCAAAAAAGGCAAAAACTGGGTTTTTTGAATAAGGTTAGGATAATCTCTATAAGACTCTCCAATTGTTTGAATATATGTAGTTCACCATCTACTAATGTTCACCAACTAGAAGGTTCACCATGTTCCAAATTTTACATAGTAGCTGTACGTATGTTTATACATATATATTTGGAATGAATTGAGCAAATTAAGCATTTAAAACATATTTGAGCACTTGGTGAACACTAGGATGACGGACATTGAAAT